TTTGCGGTACATGGGCCTCTCACTGCTGTGGCCTCTCCCATTGCCGAGCACAGGCTCCGGACGCGCAGGCTCAGCGGCCATGACCCACGGGCCTAGCCGCTCCGCGGCATATGGGATCTTCCCGGAGCGGGGTACGAACCCGTGTTCCCCTGCATCGGCAGGGGGACTCTCAACCACTGCGCCACCAGGGAAGCCCTGCATTTTTTGCAGCGTGGTCAGTGAAGCCTTCTCTGAGAAGGTAACATTTACTTAAAGACCCAGCAGAGACAGGGCATGTGGAAAAGCATTCCAGACAGAGGGCATAGTAAGTTCAAAAGCCTTGAGTATATTTGGAGAACATCCTGTGTCTAAAGAACTGCTAGGAGCCCTGTGACCAAGGCTGGGGAGCAACTGGAGAGTAAGTGGGTGGAGATTAGTTCAGTATCAGGCTGATGCTGAAGACTTTGGTTCTTACTGTAAATGAGATGGAATGCTTTGGAGGATTGCAAAGAGGGTGACAGGAGCTGACTTATGTTAAAAAAAAGAAAGAAAGAAAAGCCCACAATAGAGGCAGTGAAGAAAAGTTAAGAGAAAGTAAACAACGTTAACTGGACTAGAACATGATTCAGAGTAATTCAGGTATAAGTTCAAGTTTTTATTTATCTTGAAAAACTTGTGTCAGAAACCATTTTGCTTATCCTAGTGTGAAGACATAAGAAAGAGCTTACTGGAGGGTTCTTATTAAGTAACATTCTTTCCAAAAGGGTCTCTGATTTTTTTTTTTTTTTAAGCAGCGTATCTATGTAAGACTGTGCCATGTAAGTACATTCACCAAATCCTGTGAGATCTAAAAGTAAATTTGATTCAGGGGTTGTGAGGTAGCTTTTATTACTAGAGAGAAATTTTTGTAAATGCCAGTATATAGTGCTAGTGTGGAAACAGTTGTTGCTTTCCTCAAATAAATAGATAAATTTTATCTTATTTTACTTCTGGAATAAAGTTTGACATTCAATAAAAGGTATCCTTCAGCCTTTTGATTTTGGTCCTTTTTCTTGTGAATTGGTGGCTCTAATAAAGGCAGAGTTCTTTACTTACCTGTGGTAAATTCTGTGAACCATTTATGCTAAGACATGTCAGACCAGCTACTGGGAAATGACAGCCCTGTATCTGGCTGTCCATTACATGAACACATAATAACTCATTTATATTCGAATAGTAGGTATACCTTTAACACCAGATAAGGTATTTTCCAGGTCAGTTATATCCTCTCTTGTTTATTCATAGATTCCTAACTAGAGTGGATACTTTTCATTGAGTCTAAAGAATCTCTTGTGAACCAGCTGTTTAGTTTTAGACATAAATCCTTTCAGATCAAGAACAGAAACCTCCTATATGGGTTACTGCTGTATATTCTGTGATAAGCTGGCATTGACTTCGAAGGAAGAAAATTTTATTTTTGGGAGCAGGATTTTTAAATTAATTCTTTTGAATTCTCATCAAGTTCCAAAGAATAAGCATTCTTGGAGACTTTATGGAGTTCCTCATGTATGCCAGTACATGGTAGTATTGTTAGTACTAAAGGTAATACTTTGGTACCTTTGATAACACTAATGGGTATTATTACCTTCATTTTCACAAGAGGATGCTGAGGCCCATAGAGGGTATGTGACTTGCTCAAAGTCGTTTAGCAAATAAGTATGGAAGTCAAATTGGTACCCAAGTCTGGGTGACCTCACAGTCCATGCCATCTTCTCAAAGCGGCTCACTAGTGAAGGCAGAAATCAACATGACATGTTCCCTCAGATGAGTTCTGTTTCTCCAGGGTCTCATTTCTGAATCTGTTATTTCCCTTAGCTCTGTTTGGACCTTAACAGTCCTGTGCAAAGTAGAACACTGAGGTCTTTCTGGTATCACTTTGTAGCTCCATTACTATGCATTTTGTGTGGCTTTTTAAATGTAGTGATTATTCATTATTAACCAAGCTCCTAAATTCCAATATGATCATATTCATTTTATTTCCACTTTAATAAGGTGGATTTTTTGTTTTAATAGATCACACTAAGACTTCTTCCTGAAGTTATGAAGTATCAGTTTGCAATTAAAATCACAAACCAGTGATATTTAAAGAGTATATAATATTATAATATGCATAATGTTTTATTATTTGTACCTAAGGGTCTAAAAAGTCATCATTATTGATTTATAGAACTGATTAAGGAACATTCAGCCAGCTCTGTGATAACATTGGAATTTTTATTGCAGAACTACTGTGTTGACTCTATATCATATCTTAGGTGGTCTCATGATCGCTTAAAATTATCCTGGTCTAAATTTCATATAAAATTGGGGGGGGCGGGGAAGGTGTTTGAAAGGGTAATGTCATCAAATTCTTAAATCTTAATTGCCATATATTAATTTTTCCTCTCTGCATTTGTGTTTTTTTTTCCCTAGGAGAAAAATTCAAAGTAGAAACAAAGACCATTGCTGTTGACTTTGCATCAGAAGATATTTATGATAAAATTAAAACAAGCCTGGCAGGTCTTGAAATTGGTGTTTTAGGTTTGTATCTTTTTCATGTTTACAGATTCTTCTTGCATTTATTGACTAGGACTTTCTTTTTGGATGTTAGGTGTTGAATTGGTGAAATGACTAGTGAGAAGAAAGTTGTCTTGTTAATACAAGTGATCGTTAGATGATATGGATCTATATACACTTGAATCTTTATGTTTTGGGTTGTGTTTTAATGATGATTCTACAATTTAGGTTGTTTTCCCTGCCTGCTTTATTTCCAGTCTCTCATTCTCTCTGTAGTCCTTTGTGGTGGGGTAATGCTGAGGAAATAAAGGCTTAGAGGGGTCTCAGCCTTTTGTTCAATATTACCCCCTCCCCAACAAGGAGCCTTTTTAGACATTATTTTCCCCTAGTCTACCCTCTCATGAGACTTTAATACCACAGATCCACTGTGTGTCTTGTTTATGTGCTGTATGTATATCTATTCTTTATACATAAAAAGGATAAGAGCTCACACCATACCCTGGAATCAATTTTTGTTCCCTTGCGGGGAGAGGTATCACCCCAGTTGAGAAGACGTGGCTCAGAGAGATGAGCGACTTGCCTAAGCTGCCGTAGAGACTGAGTATTGCGCGTGGGATTTAGCCACTGTTTGTTTTTTCTGAGTCTCCTACTTCCTTGTGTTACACCTCAGCTACCTTATTGCCAAAAACGGATGCTTCTGCTGAGATGTGGAAGTATTGGTCCTTGTTATGGAAAAGATTCACCAGATTTTGAGGAAAAGAAAAAAAAAAAAAACAGGCTTCAGAAAGTTACCCAGCATTCTCTGACTCATTTCTAGAAAGAAAAAGGGCATCTAGTTCAGAAAAATGTCACTTCTTCACTAAATCTCTTTATCCCACTGCCTTAATTGGTGGGGACCTGGTAATTGCCATTGTTTTCTTTATTGGACTATAAAAGGAGGAACAACGAAGAGAAAATACTTTTAAAAAATGTTTCTTAACCTTTCTTTAGTCACGACCCCACCTGTCTTCCTCATACTGTAAATGAATGGTCTCATATAATTTCTTGAAAAGGCAATTTAAAAAAAGCCCTACATAGTGCCATTGGACCTGGGGTTAACCCTGGCTTTGATGTGTTATCTTTTCAGCTCCTGCCTGGTCCATATCATACATCACCACACCCCACCTACCCTCATGGCTACTCCCATACTTATAGGAGAGCCAGTAGCAAAAGATGAATGAACACACAGGTCTAATTTTTGCCTTGTTCTTCTCTAATACGTACATTACTCGGACTCTTTCACAAGCTTTTCTTCCTTTAGCTTAACCTAAAGCACAGCTAACATCTGTAAAATTCTCAACTTTTTAAAAATTCCAAGTCAGTAGTAGCTGTAACTTCCTAGTTAGGATAGACACCGCCATAGTCCATCCAAACCCCTTTCAAACTAGTCATGGACTGGAGAGTGAAGGCTGGCTTAGGCAAGGAGGGGAATCAAGGATCCCTAATGAGAGGAGACTTATTTTGAACTTGTGTTCTTGGAGAATAACTTTGTTTCAGGAGTGGTTCAGTTAATCACAGTTGTTCTTAGCTTTGTATAAATTTCAGCTGCTTTTCACTGGGTAACTTTGAAACTATAGCTACTCTGGGACTATGCCATTGAAAATGGAAGATGTCAGGCATCAGGTTGCTGCTGGGCTGGAGGGTTATAAAAGGCACTCTTCAGCTGTTCTTTCCTGACCCAGTATATAGAAAATCTGCAGTGTGATTTTATGCACAATAGATAGATCTGTTAAGGATGAGGGTACATTGATATTTAGACCTAAGGGTTGATATTTTCCTGGGCCACATATGCTAATGGAACCACTGCTTTTGTAGTCCAGCCCCTTAGTAAATTGCAACCTGTGAGTTGGTAGTTTACACCCCTCTTTATTCATTCATTCATTCATTCGTCAGTCAATGAACTGGAGATACAACAATGAACAGGAAAGCACCTAGCTCTATGTAGTATAATGTTCTAAACGGAAAGACAGCCCTAATCAAAAATAGTTACTTGTGGGCTAAATGTTGAGATGGGGAGGGCAGGGTGTAATAAGAGGGTAAAAGGGATGATGGAGTTGATATGGGGAGAAATAATGGTGGCTTGGCCTAGCCAGTGTTAGGAAAAAGGATGATTCCAGAAATACTGAGGGAGTAGGGGAAGCAGGATTCTACTTGTGAGAGATTGCAAGAGAACTCATGAAGACCTTCAGGTTTCTGGCTTGAACATCTGTGTCAATAGTGCCATCTAATAAAATGGGGAATCCTGGAGGAGGAGCCTTTTTGGGGAATGAGGATCATTTAAGTTTGGGGTTCCTCTAGGATGTCCAAGTGGGGTTGTTAAGTCTATAGTGGACATATGGATCTAGGTTTTGGTAGAGCTCCTAACTAGAGATAGAGTTTGGAGGTAAGTCATCTCTGAGTAGTAATCTCCCTGAAGAAAGGAAACTGGAGCTAATCCAAGGAGAATGGAGAGAAGCTAAAGAGAAAACTGGGGACAGAGCTCTCTGTTATCAAAGGCTGCCTGGAACGAATAGTGTGAAGGAGGGATACTTTTTTGCACAAGTTCAGCACTGTCCACTGGAAATACAATGCAAACCACACATTTAATTTGAACATTTCTAGTAGCCACATTTTTAAAAAGCAAAAAGGAACAAATGAACTAATTTTTATAATGTATTTTATTTTAACCCACTATATCCAAAATATTATCACTAACATGTAATCCACATAAAGTTTTTTGAAACATTTTGTATTCTTTTTCTCATACCAAATCCTCAAGTGTAGGGTGTATTTTACATCTATAACATATCTCAATTCGGACTAGCTACATTTTTTTTTTTTTTTTTTTTTTTGGGGGTAGGGGGGCCTCTCCCTGCTGTGGCCTCTCCCCGTTGCGGAGCACAGGCTCCGCGCCCATGGCCCACGGGCCCAGCCGCTCCGCCGCATGTGGGATCTTCCCGGACTGGGGCATGAACCCGCGTCCCCTGCATCGACAGGCGGACTCTCAAGCACTGCGCCACCAGGGAAGCCCCGGACTAGCTACATTTTTTTTTTTTTTTGGGGGTAGGGGGGCCTCTCCCTGCTGTGGCCTCTCCCCGTTGCGGAGCACAGGCTCCGCGCCCATGGCCCACGGGCCCAGCCGCTCCGCCGCATGTGGGATCTTCCCGGACTGGGGCATGAACCCGCGTCCCCTGCATCGACAGGCGGACTCTCAACCACTGCGCCACCAGGGAAGCCCCGGACTAGCTACATTTTAAGTGTTCAGTAGCCACATGTGCCTAGTGATGGATATCTAGCTCTAGTTCATCTTGGCTGTCTCTCATCCTCAGTTTGTGTGGGAGAGCCATAAATATAATTTCTAGGTTTTTCTTGTGCTTTAACATAGCTTTCAACCAGGGGCAATTTTGCAGCCTCTGGCAATGTCCAGAGACATTTCTGGTTGTCACTAATTGAGGTGGGGGGAGGAGGAAGTTCTACTGGCCCCTGGTGGGTACAGGGCGGGGATGCTGCTAAACATCCTTCAGTGCACAGGACAGATTCCCACAGCAAAGAATGATCAGTCTAAAATCTCAACAGTGCTGAGGTTGAAAAACCCTGATTTGAAGTTATATTAAATAGTTCTGATTGAATACTTATGGAGACACACACACACATACACAGACAACTTAATTTTTGATTTCTAGGTTGGTTACAGATCAATAATAAAAATAATTATAGCTAATGTTTACATACTCCTTTAAAGTTTATCGCAGTACTTTCACATACATTATACTGTTAATTGGCTATATATTTTGTTTTCTTTCTACTCTACCTGAACTGTCTCCTTAATCATAAGCTTTGTATAATTATATTGACATTTATTAGCATATATCTTATATTGCATTGTAGTTTTAATTTGTTAAGATTTTTGAGGAAACTATTAAAACACCTTTATGAGCTAAATTTTATCTTATTGCTAGGTCATATTTCAACTCAAATCTTAACGTTTCTTTCTCTAGTGTGGGTATAACCCTCTAGAACTTGTGGGAGGGGTCTGGTGTTGATGTTTTCTTTTTTTGTTTTGTTTTGTTTTGTTTTTTGCTGTACGCGGGCCTCTCACTGTTGTGGCATCACCCGTTGCGGAGCACAGGCTCCGGACGGCGCAGGCTCAGCGGCCATGGCTCACGGGCCCAGCTGCTCCGCGGCATGTAGGATCCTTCCAGACTGGGGCACGAACCCATGTCCCCTGCATCGGCAGGCAGGCTCTCAACCACTGCACCACTAGGGAAGCCCCGATGTTTTCTTTTTTTTTAGTGATTACCTGGGCCTATAGCCCCTTCACTTTCTTCCCTTTTTCCTCCCCATCCAGATCCCAGATACACCCCCTTCTGTCTAATAAATAACCTTATTTATTCTCCTTCCTCCTCTGCTTAATGTCAGTCTCACCTTTATAACATTCCCTAAAATAACAAACATGTACATTGATTTCTAGTAAGATTTAGCAATCCATATTAAGTCACAGGAGAGAATTTTGTCTACCGAGTATTAATGAAACCAGTAATGATAAAAAGAAATAAAAATCACCAAGGTACATTCCATTTGTTTGAATAGCACTAACCACTAAAGTATAGTCAGTGCTTAATAAAGAAAATTAATATTTTCAGAATTACAAAGGAAAATGCTAAAGCTATTGGTTATGAAAGAAACATTGTTTTCAATAAGATAAGCAGAAAGAAAATGGCCATGAATTGTGTGAATTTGTACTGAAAGGTCACCATCACTTGATAAGACTATAAATGCGTAAGGTTGAGACAATGAATTCTTAACTCTGGTGTGTAAAATAAGTAAGCATCTGCTGTCTTCTCTCAGGCAAAGGCCAAGAAACACAGATTTGAGATAACTTTAAAACTTCAGCTATTTAGAGAAAATGACATCAGTCCTGCTTTCAATAAGCAAACAATTAGTTAACAAAATATGACTGCTATAATGCTCGCTTGATTCCTCAAGAGAGACTCTCATGTGTGTTC